ATTTACACTATTTACATTGTTTGGACTATTGTCCCTAATCTTTATTGTCATATTCACAGTCTATATTTCTGAGATGCGGTATTGTAACTATTTACACTATTTACATTGTTTTGTTTGGACTGTTATTCACAGTCTATATCTGAGATTTATTGTCATTTATTTACATTGTTTCTATATTTCTGAGATGAGGTATTGTAACTATTTACACCATTTACATTGTTTGGACTGTTGTCCTCATCTTTATTGTCATATTCACAGTCTATATTTCTGAGATGAGGTATTGTAACTATTTACACCATTTACATTGTTTGGACTGTTGTCCTCATCTTTATTGTTATATTCACAGTCTATATTTCTGAGATGCGGTATTGTAACTATTTACACTATTTACATTGTTTGGACTGTTGTCCTCATCTTTATTGTCATATTCACAGTCTATATTTCTGAGATGAGGTATTGTAACTATTTACACCATTTACATTGTTTGGACTGTTGTCCTCATCTTTATTGTCATATTCACAGTCTATATTTCTGAGATGAGGTATTGTAACTATTTACACCATTTACATTGTTTGGACTGTTGTCCTCATCTTTATTGTCATATTCACAGTCTATATTTCTGAGATGAGGTATTGTAACTATTTACACTATTTACATTGTTTGGACTATTGTCCTAATCTTTATTGTCATATTCACAGTCTATATTTCTGAGATGCGGTATTGTAACTATTTACACTATTTACATTGTTTGGACTGTTGTCCTCATCTTTATTGTCATATTCACAGTCTATATTTCTGAGATGAGGTATTGTAACTATTTACACCATTTACATTGTTTGGACTGTTGTCCTCATCTTTATTGTCATATTCACAGTCTATATTTCTGAGATGAGGTATTGTAACTATTTACACTATTTACATTGTTTGGACTGTTGTCCTCATCTTTATTGTCATATTCACAGTCTATATTTCTGAGATGCGGTATTGTAACTATTTACACTATTTACATTGTTTGGACTGTTGTCCTCATCTTTATTGTCATATTCACAGTCTATATTTCTGAGATGAGGTATTGTAACTATTTACACTATTTACATTGTTTGGACTGTTGTCCTCATCTTTTATTGTCATATTCACAGTCTATATTTCTGAGATGAGGTATTGTAACTATTTACACTATTTACATTGTTTGGACTATTGTCCTAATCTTTATTGTCATATTCACAGTCTATATTTCTGAGATGAGGTATTGTAACTATTTACACTATTTACATTGTTTGGACTGTTGTCCTCATCTTTATTGTCATATTCACAGTCTATATTTCTGAGATGAGGTATTGTAACTATTTACACTATTTACATTGTTTGGACTATTGTCCTAATCTTTATTGTCATATTCACAGTCTATATTTCTGAGATGAGGTATTGTAACTATTTACACTATTTACATTGTTTGGACTATTGTCCTAATCTTTATTGTCATATTCACAGTCTATATTTCTGAGATGAGGTATTGTAACTATTTACACTATTTACATTGTTTGGACTGTTGTCCTCATCTTTATTGTCATATTCACAGTCTATATTTCTGAGATGAGGTATTGTAACTATTTACACTATTTACATTGTTTGGACTGTTGTCCTCATCTTTATTGTCATATTCACAGTCTATATTTCTGAGATGAGGTATTGTAACTATTTACACTATTTACATTGTTTGGACTATTGTCCTAATCTTTATTGTCATATTCACAGTCTATATTTCTGAGATGAGGTATTGTAACTATTTACACTATTTACATTGTTTGGACTATTGTCCTAATCTTTATTGTCATATTCACAGTCTATATTTCTGAGATGAGGTATTGTAACTATTTACACTATTTACATTGTTTGGACTATTGTCCTAATCTTTATTGTCATATTCACAGTCTATATTTCTGAGATGAGGTATTGTAACTATTTACACTATTTACATTGTTTGGACTATTGTCCTAATCTTTATTGTCATATTCACAGTCTATATTTCTGAGATGAGGTATTGTAACTATTTACACTATTTACATTGTTTGGACTATTGTCCTAATCTTTATTGTCATATTCACAGTCTATATTTCTGAGATGAGGTATTGTAACTATTTACACTATTTACATTGTTTGGACTGTTGTCCTCATCTTTATTGTCATATTCACAGTCTATATTTCTGAGATGAGGTATTGTAACTATTTACACTATTTACATTGTTTGGACTGTTGTCCTCATCTTTATTGTCATATTCACAGTCTATATTTCTGAGATGAGGTATTGTAACTATTTACACTATTTACATTGTTTGGACTATTGTCCTAATCTTTATTGTCATATTCACAGTCTATATTTCTGAGATGAGGTATTGTAACTATTTACACTATTTACATTGTTTGGACTATTGTCCTAATCTTTTATTGTCATATTCACAGTCTATATTTCTGAGATGAGGTATTGTAACTATTTACACTATTTACATTGTTTGGACTATTGTCCTAATCTTTATTGTCATATTCACAGTCTATATTTCTGAGATGAGGTATTGTAACTATTTACACTATTTACATTGTTTGGACTATTGTCCTAATCTTTATTGTCATATTCACAGTCTATATTTCTGAGATGAGGTATTGTAACTATTTACACTATTTACATTGTTTGGACTGTTGTCTTCATCTTTATTGTCATATTCCCAGTTTATATTTCTGAGATGAGGTATTGTAACTATTTACACTATTTACATTATTTGGACTGTTGTCCTCATCTTTATTGTCATATTCACAGTCTATATTTCTGAGATGAGGTATTGTAACTATTTACACTATTTACATTGTTTGGACTATTGTCCTAATCTTTTTTATTGTCATATTCACAGTCTATATTTCTGAGATGAGGTATTGTAACTATTTACACTATTTACATTGTTTGGACTATTGTCCTAATCTTTATTGTCATATTCACAGTCTATATTTCTGAGATGAGGTATTGTAACTATTTACACTATTTACATTATTTGGACTGTTGTCCTCACCTTTATTGTCATATTCGCAGTCTATATTTCTGAGATGTGGTATTGTAATATTTACACCATTTACATTGTTTGGACTGTTGTCCTCATCTTTATTGTCATATTCACAGTCTATATTTCTGAGATGAGGTATTGTAACTATTTACACTATTTACATTGTTTGGACTATTGTCCTAATCTTTATTGTCATATTCACAGTCTATATTTCTGAGATGAGGTATTGTAACTATTTACACTATTTACATTGTTTAGACTGTTGTCCTCATCTTTATTGTCATATTCACAGTCTATATTTCTGAGATGAGGTATTGTAACTATTTACACTATTTACATTGTTTGGACTATTGTCCTAATCTTTATTGTCATATTCACAGTCTATATTTCTGAGATGAGGTATTGTAACTATTTACACTATTTACATTGTTTGGACTGTTGTCCTCATCTTTATTGTCATATTCACAGTCTATATTTCTGAGATGAGGTATTGTAACTATTTACACTATTTACATTGTTCGGACTGTTGTCCTCATCTTTATTGTCATATTCACAGTCTATATTTCTGAGATGAGGTATTGTAACTATTTATACTATTTACATTGTTCGGACTGTTGTCCTCATCTTTATTGTCATATTCACAGTCTATATTTCTGAGATGAGGTATTGTAACTATTTACACTATTTACATTGTTCGGACTGTTGTCCTCATCTTTATTGTCATATTCACAGTCTATATTTCTAAGATGAGGTATTGTAACTATTTACACTATTTACATTGTTTGGACTGTTGTCCTCATCTTTATTGTTATATTCACAGTCTATATTTCTGAGATGAGGTATTGTAACTATTTACACTATTTACATTGTTTGGACTGTTGTCCTCATCTTTATTGTTATATTCACAGTCTATATTTCTGAGATGAGGTATTGTAACTATTTACACTATTTACATTGTTTGGACTGTTGTACTCATCTTTATTGTCATATTCACAGTCTATATTTCTGAGATGAGGTATTGTAACTATTTACACTATTTACATTTTTTGGACTATTGTCCTAATCTTTATTGTCATATTCACAGTCTATATTTCTGAGATGAGGTATTGTAACTATTTACACTATTTACATTGTTCGGACTGTTGTCCTCATCTTTATTGTCATATTCACAGTCTATATTTCTGAGATGAGGTATTGTAACTATTTACACTATTTACATTGTTTGGACTGTTGTCCTCATCTTTATTGTCATATTCACAGAGTTCACCCATCTCGGTACTGACCAGTATTAACATTTTTATGTTCTTATTAATAACAATATTAGTATGAATGTATTGTTAGAAAGACCTATTTTTCCTGTTACAAAATATGTTTTAACAATTTAACATCAATTTTTGAAAATATTGTGAAGGCGTCATTTTGCTGTGATGAATTACGGTCGCGTTTTCTTTAGATAAGAATAATCGAACGATTACACTGAATTGCAGATTAAAACAGAAACATATATATATATACTCGCAGAAAGATCCCATTTTTTTACCAAATATTACACCAAATGTTAGGGGTGCGGCCTTTCCGCTCGACATAAATGTAAAACAAAACTACTTTGTCATTATGATTTCTGAGAAATCCTTGAAGAAATTCCACAAATCTGTGGCATCTCAAATGCCATTGGGGGAAGTGAAGATGCCGTATTATATGAGGATTTTGTTGGTGCAAACAGAGAAAAAGACAAGAATGGGGATATGGTTGTTTCAAGCACTGAAAAGGGTGAAAAAGAGGATATGATTGCTTGAAACATGAAAAAGGCCGAGAAAGAGGATATGGTTGTTTCTAGAATGGAAAATGCCGAGAATGAGGATATGGTTTTTTCTAGAATGGAAAATGCCGAAAATGAGGACATGGTTGCTTCAAGCATGAAAAAGGCAGAGAAAGAGGATATGGTTGCTTTTAAGCAGGGAAAAGGCCGAGGATGCGGATATGGTTGCTTGAAACAGGGAAAAGGCCGGGGATGCGGATATGGTTGCTTGAAGCAGGGAAAAGACCGAGGATGCGGATATGGTTGCTTGAAGCAGGGAAAAGGCCGGGGATGCGGATATGGTTGCTTGAAGCAGGGAAAAGGCCGGGGATGCGGATATGGTTGCTTGAAGCAGGGAAAAGGCCGAGGATGCGGATATACGTTTGAAGCAGGAAAAGGCCTAGGATGCGGATATGGTTGCTTGAAGCAGGGAAAAGGCCGGGGATGCGGATATGGTTGCTTGAAGCAGGGAAAAGGCCGGGGATGCGGATATGGTTGCTTGAAGCAGGGAAAAGGCCGAGGATGCGGATATGGTTGCTTGAAGCAGGGAAAAGACCGAGGATGCGGATATGGTTGCTTGAAGCAGGGAAAAGGCCGAGGATGCGGATATGGTTGCTTGAAGCAGGGAAAAGGCCCAGGATGCGGATATGGTTGCTTGAAGCAGGGAAAAGGCCGAGGATGCGGATATGGTTGCTTGAAGCAGGGAAAAAACCGAGGATGCGGATATGGTTGCTTGAAGCAGGGAAAAGGCCGGGGATGCGGATATGGTTGCTTGAAGAAGGGAAAAGGCCGGGGATGCGGATATGGTTGCTTGAAGCAGGGAAAAGGCCGAGGATGCGGATATGGTTGCTTGAAGCAGGGAAAAGGCCGAGGATGCGGATATGGTTGCTTGAAGCAGGGAAAAGGCCGGGGATGCGGATATGGTTGCTTGATGCAGGGAAAAGGTCGAGGATGTGGATATGGTTGCTTGAAGCAGGGAAAAGGTCGAGGATGCGGATATGGTTGCTTGAAGCAGGGAAAAGGCCGCGGATGCAGATATGGTTGCTTGAAGCACGGAAAAGGCCGAGAATGAGGATATGGTTGATGCAAGCAAAGATGAGGATAGTTATATCACAAGTGATGATGTGAACAACTTCTCTGAAATAGACAAGGATAAAAACCTATTAACTGATGAAAAAATGAGAATGATGTTTGGCAGCGATAATAGTGAAGAAGTATTCTTGGCATTCAGTTCTGAATTAATTTTAAAACTCTAACTTGATATATAAATAGATAAACACTTTTTTCTAAATGTATCAAAACATTTTCTTTTGTAGTTATTTCTTTTTTCTATTATTTTTTTGTCGAATTGACTCGATATAAAAATAATATGCAGTAAATATAAAAATACCAATACAACACTTACTTCCATTTGTTTACATGATAATTTGACGAAATGTATTTTAACTGCAAATGTGTATTAGTAATTTTAAGTTTCGAAATAAGGCAGAAATAAAGGTAGATATCTGATAATTCTTGCGTTTAAAAAGGCGCTGTGTAAATCCCCAGATTATAGTGCAACCTCTCTGCGAGTCAACAGTAAATTATCAATTATTAAGCCATAAACTAAGGATGCGACTTATCCGGCGGGTCGGCCTATCCGGTGGGGCGACCTATCCGCGAGTATATACGGTACTTTTTAAAACCCTTGCATTGTACAAAAGTTATTGGTTAAGAAATAATTATTTTTCTGGTTTATGAGAACGTATAACAGTGTTTGGGACGAATTGATTTTGATATCAATAAACGTTTGATATTGATAAATTCTGATTAAATAAAATCGAAAAGGTACTATTTTATTTAAATTCTGCTTATAATTGAGCGGTCTTGGCATTTTCTTTTATTCAGAACCGTATCCATTCTGGATGTGGAAGCTCATATCTTTCCCCGACCTCCTATCATTTATGGATGTAGTAAATTTATATATATATATATATATATATATATATATATATATATATATATATATATATATGAAAAAAATATACTGAAAAAACAAACGAAAATCCTAATATGCGATTATGCTGTTTTAATACTTCCCTTTTCTAGCAAGATTAATGCTCGACAAACGTACATATAAGTTTTAGATCAAAATAAAATTCTTTTCGTTTTCATTCAAAATACTCAACTTTTAGGAATACGTTTTCACAACATCGCCCACGTGACGACGACGTGATCATATTTAAACGGAACGATGATCTTATAAAAAGATTTCAGTTATCTGTTTGGATTGGTATTGCTTTTTTATGTCCATCGTCTTTTTTCATGTTGAATTGTATATGGTCTATGTTAATTATGTTTTAGGAATATGTCCTGAAGATGGTCTATTAGACCGAAACGTCCGACGTTGACATTAAATATTAAAACAGCATAATCGCATATTAGGATTTTTGTTTGTTTTTCAGTATATTTTCTTCATACTGTCGGATCTATATCCATATATTTTACATATATATATATATATATATATATATATATATATATATATATATATATATATATATATATATATATATAATATTTAGGGTTAACACACACACACACACACACGCACACACACACACACACACACACACACATACATATATATAAATAAAAATTTCCAAATGGATAGAATCCAGGTAGAACTCAATGTCCAGGACAGAGTAAGAATATAATAAAAAGGCTTAAACACTAATATTCTATGGCTATAAATTAATTACATTGGAATCGTAATTACGATCCAACTCATCACACCTACAAATTCAATTTTTTTTTAATTTGTGAGTCTGATGAATTGGATCGTAATTACGATTCCAATGTAATAAATTATAACCATGGGTTATTAGTGTTTAAGTTTTTATATATATATATATATATATATATATATATATATATATATATGTGTGTGTGTGTGTGTGTGTGTGTGTGTGTGTGTGTGTGTGTGTGTGTGTGTTTCATTAAAGACGACAGAAGGTATTACGATTAAGCTTTTTATTTAATTTTTCTTGTGCTCTTTAATTACCTACTACAAAAAAATTAAAAACAGGTAACCGTATCCTCAAAAATAACGACACACAGGCAAAATCAAAATTACAACGAATGAACATTATCTATGAGTTCAAATGACCCTTAAGGAATTATATTCCTGATCAAACCAAATTCATAAATAATTACATTGGTCCCACAACTACATACCTATCCAGACGCCTTACGTTGCACTTATCCGACCACAACTCTATTAGAAGGCATTTCAAGAAATACACAAACGTACCAGACTCCATCCGAATCATACTATTAGAAAATACAAACATAATAACCTCATCCACATGCAAAATAGATGAAAAATAATGGAAGACTTAATAATAAAAAAGAAAAAGCCAGCACTTAATAATATTAATTACGAACACGGCCACAATATGCTAACCGTGTTTGGAAAATAAAACATTCCTATAATTCTAGAAGCATACACACAACCCATGCACCCAATTAAAAAGCAAAAATAAAATCATCCTTGATAATGGCTAAATAAATAGCCGAAAGCGCTCGCAATTATAGATCATTTCGACAGATTCTACACACTCTGTGTCCAAAAAAGAAAACAATTCTTCCAACACAAGAAAAATTAAATAAAACTTAAGCGTAGTACCCTGTGTGTAGTCTTTAATGAAACATGTATAAATGAAGGATTGCTGCCTAAATACACTATCTATCTATCTATCTATCTATCTATATATATATATATATATATATATATTCTTCATACTCAAAATAATTTCTAAAGAAGTCAGTCAATTAAGTTCCATCCGTGATACACTCTTGAGCAATCATGCTTCTTTTGATTCATGAGAAACGGGGCAGAAATTTTTTCACACCAGGTTTCTTTCTATGGTAGTCTGGCTGCCAGCTAAGGCTACAGGTCTATCCTGCTATTCACCCTATAGCTGGGAATCAATTTACATATGAACTAACATAGCAAAATAGCTACTCCCGTATCTACTTTTATGAAATGTAATAATTTTTTTATTTTATATTCCTGATTTGGAAATCTATAGTAAAAAGTCTCAAGTATGCTCGATTTTTACCAAGTGCTCACTATATACGACCTTGTGGCAGACTTGCTTCTCGTTAGTAAATACATTCAAAAGATATATTTTTTTTGACCTCGAAAATTGCCAAGGATAGCATGCAGGGTTTCAGGCTTATTCATGTGGGGTTATTTTTCAAGAGAATAAAGGTTTGTAGAAGTTAAGAAGGTTGGGGTTTTTTTGTGTATTTTTTTAGGTGAAGGTGTGTGTTCAATATATAAACAAAGAAAGTAGAGAAGAAGAATACAAAAAAAAAGTTCTGCTACGGACGTTTATTTCTTTAATATTGTCTATTTTCAAACAAAATAAAATGTCTCTTGAGTATGTCCGTTTTCCTTTTTTGGTTCAGAAATAATTTACGGGAAGTAAAGGTAAGAACATGTTAAGATCTCCTTTCCAAGTTTGACGACATGTACTTTGTTACATCCTACCAACAGAGTGGAGAAATCCTTCACTGGGTGAGATGGTAGCATGCTCTTCCCAAAAGGCGTAGTACCAAACAAACAGAAATTATCTTAAACGAAATTTGAACTCTGACCGGCCGACTGAGATCATCGCATCTGTACTACAGATAAGTGCATTAGACATACATGTCATCAATCTGCAATTGTGATTACAATATGCAGGTTATAATCTGGCCACCGCCTGGCTGATAAGTAGTTGTATTATTTTTAAAGCTTGTTCTTATGAAACACGTGGGAACTTAATGACAATAACAGTCTCCAGGGGAATTGCAAACAAAAAGCTCTCGCTGATCTCGAAAATTTAAGTTCGTTTTTCTACATTTTATTTATTATTATCACAAATGCGTTTGGATCTACGTATATGGGTAAGAATATGTGTCTGGTTGAGCACACCAAGAAAAATATGTCAATATTTATCGGTCAAAATAGATAGACAGATACGAACAAACATGGTGATAGATAGATAGATAGATAGATAGATAGATAGATAGATAGATAGATAGATATGAATAAACGTAGCGATAGATAGATAGATAGATAGATAGATAGATAGATAGATATGAATAAACGTAGAGATAAATAGATAGATAGATAGATAGATAGATAGATAGATAGATATGAGTAAACATAGCGATATATAGATAGGTGGATGGATGTATTGAATGCATATTTTTAAAGCAATAATTCATGGGAAAATAAACGTTTTAACAAATGTTTGAATGTGAGCTTGTATCCCATGCGGTATATATATATATATATATATATATATATATATATATATATATATATTTAATGCTTCTTTCACTTCTCTCACTCTCTCTCTCTCTCTCTCTCTCTCTCTTTATATATATATATATCTTTCTATCTTTATATATATATATATATATATATATATATATATATATATATATATATATATATATAGAGAGAGAGAGAGAGAGATTAATAGACAGCTGGATAGGTACAGTTATTTAACCCATATCTATTCAAAAAACGGTTCACACATTTCGAATGTCAGCTCGTTTGCAATCCTTCCTCGTTTTTGAGCAGGGTAAAGATTTAGGCCGTGTTTCTTGTTTAAGTTTCGGTTCCAGATTTCTTTTGAAGTCTTTTCGTTCTTTTCGTCAAAGAATACCCCTTCCATCTTAGTGGCATTATCGCCTTGCTTAGAATGAATTGATTACACAGACACAAACACACACACACACACACACACACACATATATATATATATATATATATATATATATATATATATATATATAGTAGGAAACAACTCCCCCAAAACTACTAGATCCTGTCATTAATATAAAACATGCTGGCAAAACTTCCCCTTAGAAAAAAATTGGAAAAGAACAGACGTGTTTCAAATTTTTGATTCTTAACATCTTTCTCATCATACTTCTATCTATTTAAGACGCCCACTAGTATGCAATAAATATCATTTGTCTTAGATAGATAGATAGATAGATAGATAGATGGGAACAGGCTGATAGATAGATAGATAGATAGATAGATAGATAGATAGATAGATAGATAGATAGATAGATAGATATGAATATTGTTGATTGATTTCTTTACTTGAGTTATTACGGCTTGCCAATACGTTGTGTGTTATTTGAAGCCGAAACATTTTTTGCTAATGTTCATCCAATACAATGCCCAAGAGTCATTCAAGGTAGAGTGTTACTGCCTGGTGTTGTATGTTCTTGGGGCTAAGCAAGAAAGATAGCAACTAAATGTAGACTTAAAAATGTTACGATTTAATTCGGAATAACATTTCAGAGTTCAGTCGAAGACATTAGAAGTATTGGCTGGAAGAAGACTTTAGAAGGAACCAGAAACCCAATACTAAACAGGAAACAGTCATCAACCGCCCACACCTATTCGAAAGATCGGGGAAGAGTGTGAACCGGGCGGTAGGCGAAACTATTTTGGATTGGAAGGATAATTCAAATGTTGATAGCGATAATCGGGATTTATCCAGATACAAGGCGTACTATTTAACACATAGCTAGGAGCATATAGAATTATATTTGCGCAGTAAAGGAATGTAACAGAGCAGACTGGTAGACATGAAGAGATAGATATATAAATAGATAGATAGTGCGATGGATAAATTGTCGTCTAAATGACGCCAAAAAAAAAAAAAACACTGACATCTCATTTTCACGGATACATTTACCAAAATTACACAAAAAATATTTTGAAATACTATAGAGTATATCTATTCAATAAAATCGCCATTGGCTTTAACCAGGGCCTCGAGCCGACTTCAACATCTCCTGCAACTCTTCTGGACGATCTCCTTGTTTAAGTTGATGAATGCTGTCATAATGCTTGCCTTCAGTTGATCTTTGGTGTTACAGTGAGTTTTGTTGGTCTCTCGTTCGACTGCGTCCCGCACATACTAATCAAGGGGGTTGCAAACTGGGGAGTTAGGTGACTAGATGTAATAGGTGATGTGTGTTACGGTTTTTTGTGTATATACTAGTTATATAACTAGTGAGCGAGTCAGAATGACTTATTTCCCTTTATAGTCTACCAATAGAAGATTAACCAATCAGGAGCCGCAGAACACTGTATCCGTCGTGTATAAAGGCGGCCATCTTTGTTTACCCTACCGGAATGACCAGAGCCAACATGTCAGGCGAACATGACAGACGGAAGAACTACGCTCTGCTACTTTGCTGTGATATCCACTGCGAACCTGCACTACGCTTTCCTACTGTCTCCGAAATATTCACTGCCAACCTCTGGATTCTATACTCGAGGGACGACCGTCATGAAAATGTCTAACAATGTGGTCGTAGAAATTGTCATGACTGGGTTCTCCTATTTGTGTGACATGGTGCGGAGTCCATTTGCCACCCTCTTAACCCAGAGCAGCACTACTTCCTCAAGGCACTTGATGTAAGCCTTCGTTTTGAATCTGACGCCCTCACCAACAAATTCGAAAGTTTCCGAACTGCTGTACCTCCGTATTCAAAATTTCCGAAACCTCCGACACCCAAATACTCTGTAATGTTCATATTGGAACTTCCGACACGAATGCCGAGTATTACCTTTTCCAAATTTATGGCGTAGTGAATTGCGTCACAGCGCCCTTTTTCTCAAAGCAAACAACGCGCATGCGCGAAATTAAAAATATAACATGGCGAAAATTTACACAACGCATCCTGTAGATAGATAGATAATGAACATGCTAACGCTATACTTTCAAACAATAAATGTTGACGTTAAAAGAGCTTTTGGTTCCCGTTTCTCTGTTAAAATGTAAGTAGGAATATGCATAAAGATAAAGCCATATCAAGTTGACTAGAAACTTCCTTTGTATCATCGTGAATATTTAAGAGCCCTTGATTACAAATTTAAACCCGTGATTGACCCTGAGAAATCTTTTGAATTCAAAGCGGAAGTGTCCCACCTCTGTCCGTGAAGAGGATTTCAAGTATATACTTATTTACATGTAAGAATATACTTCATAATGGTCTTTCAAACAGTGTCTTTTAAATAGGTATGACCGACAGATAACATTATGTTTTACATACATACATAATTCCTGGTGTTCCCAGTTCCACCCTGACCCGGGGTGGTAGCACCTGTTAGGGTCCCAGCTGTAGGCAAATAGTTAACTATTACCAGCAATACTTTTTTGAAAAAAAATATTACCAGCAATACAATTTTGAAGGAAATATATTACCAGAAACAGATATTTTGACAACAGAAAATTTCTCAGCATTAAATAAGCCATTGAGGTTGATATGCCGTAAGGCAAAAATAAACCAAACCAATCTAAACCAAAAAATACATATTATATTCATACGAATCTATCCTAAAAGGTTGTCGGCATTAAATAACTCATTGAGGTTGATATGCCGTAAAACAAAATAAACCAAACCAATCTAAAGCAAAGAATACATATTCTATTCATACGAATCTATCCTAAAAATGTTGTCGGCATTAAATAACCCATTGAGGTTGATATGCCGTTAAACAAAATAAGCCAAACCAATCTAAACCAAAGAATACATATTCTATTCATACGAATCTATCGTAAAAATGTTGTCGGCATTAAATAACACAGAAAGATTTTAATTAGAATCAATAATAAAGAGACTTTGCATTTAACTTTGGGTTACAACGGAGCAGTATTAGTATATTCGATATTTAATACGCGCTCTTTATTTACGACCTTGTGTCAGGAAGATTTCAGAGAGCTTAGAAAATTATTCATACATGCAGGACAAGCAAGATGACTAGCGAAAAATGGGACATAATCTACCTAACGAACATTTGTAAATTCTTTTGAGGAACAGGAATAAGTTAGCAAAAATACAAAAATATTATCAGCTACAAAAGACGGGAAATTGTGGAGAGCTATAACCGTCAATGTGCTGAAGGGATATGGCACATAGATAAAGCTTTGTAGAAGCTGTTTTTTTTTTTAAATCATTTCACCCCGAACAAGAAGGCATTACTACTGGAATGCCGGGGTGAGGGTTACAGAGCGTGAAAGGGGGGTAATGGTAAGGATTGGAGAAAGGACAAAAAAGGAAGATGCTTCAAGAAGACAAAAGATGGCGGTTGACGTTGCATTTAAATTTTTGAAGATCAGAGAGTGATTAGGATTAGTAATCAAGGAAGCAAGAAATTGTGGGGGGAGTTCCACAGATGAGAAGCACAAGAAAAGAAACTGTTAAAGTAGAAGCTAGTTTAACAGTAAAACGGTGGGACCTAATTGCCAATCAAGTAGCACGCTTAAATTCAGTTTATGAAGGATAGTAGGTCAACCACATCTACGCATCTAAATTAGCCCCTCATACTGTTCGCGTTTATAAACTTCTGTCTCGCTTAACTCGATCAAGAAGTGCGTCTATGTAAATAATGCCAGACTTGTGGTACATTCAGGCCGCTCCTTGCGCAAAAGAGTGGTTTTTGTTTGGCCCATGCATAATCTGGAAGTATATCGTAGAGGACTTCATGTGCCATCAGATGCAATCACGAAGTAACATTTAAAAACTTAATTGTGATCAAGTAGCCAGAGCACTCAAAGCTTTGAAGACATTGTTAATAATGGTAATATTAGCAAGTTCCTTATATTTAAACATTCTGGTATTCTTTGATTGAACAGCCAATAAGACTATCGGTTGAATGTTATAAAATCTTTCTTGAGAAACAATTTTTCAGAAAGACAAATTTCTCAAGGATTCTAGCTAGTTCAGTTTCCTTATCATCTATACTAAACTTCTTATAACGGATCTATACAGTGACATATATATTTTTTATCATTTCACCCCAAGAAAGGCAACAATACCAGAAGGCAGAGCTTTATAGGGAATGAAAGTGAAAGAGAATGAAAAGGTTAAGAATTAACAAAAAAAGGAATAGGGGTCAGGAAAACAGAAGATGGCGATTAATTTAAATTTTAATTTTCTCTCACCGACGTGCCGTTGCCTCCCTCTGTGGTTTTTACAAATACTTTCACGATAACTGCTCCGAGGAGCTGCTTTCGCTGGTTCCCAGACTTCATGAATTTAAGCGTTCTACTAGGCTGGCATCTCGATCTCACCCTTTCACTGTCGAAACTGTTAAATGTAGCCGTCTCTTCTACTCCAATAGCTTCATGTCTTGCACCTCTCGCCTGTGAAACTCCATCCCCTCTTCC